TTCACCTCCTCATCCTGTTGAGTAAGCAAGTCACAAATTGGGACCATCAGCCCACATTTGGGGAAGAGGGAATTAGACTTCTCAGTGCTGAAGTGATGAGAGATTTGTGATCCTTGGTAACCTCCTAGATGGTGTTCCTCAATAGGAGAGTCTCCTCCAAGAGACTTTCAGAAAGAAAGAGGGATGCTATGACAAAATGCACTTTTATATTTGAGAGAAAGGTCAAATGATTGCAGGCAGAAGGACTTGGTGAGTTCTGGTATGGGAAGATGGGTGCAGGATACTTTCCCAGGAATTTGCTGTGAGAGAGGATGGGAGTGAAAGCAAAGGCTCAGGGAGGCCTAGGGTTAAGACATTGGCTTGTTTGGCTTTGCCTGTTGCGGAGATGGTGAGATCACTGTTGGCCTCTTCTGTTCCAGATCATGGTTGTTTCTTTGCAGGTTTATGACTGGTTACCCTGGTTAAACACCCTTGAATTTTATCTTGCCTTTGTGATAAGACTTCCTGCTGGTCTTGGTCCTTCGGCCAGTGCCTAAGAAGGGTGTTTTCCTATAGTGGTTATCTTTTTCTGGGCACCGCCTCAGCTTTCCTGATGTCTTCACTCTGTACCCTCTCTCAAACAGTAATCCCATTCATTCTCTTGATTTTAGCTGATGCTCCCCACCAAAGCCCCCAGACCTCTGGCCTGCCCAGTTGCCCTCTGCATGTCTCTGTAATTCCAGTGCTTTTTTTCCCTCTCATTTAAAAAGTTATTTATTTTTATTGAAATTTTGTAGTTTTCTTACAGTGTAGTTTGATGGTATTTAGATCCCCGCGCCTCTCTGGACCTTCCCTACTGTCCTGCACCCAATTTAATGAACTTTCTTTATATATAAAACATGACCGATAGAGTCTGATTTGTGTCCCCAAATGTCCTTCAGTGTGGGTCCATCCACTGGGCCCACCAAGAGTCCCATCTCTATAAGACATTGTGTTTACCTTCCCAATAGCCATCAGTTACAAAACTTCCTCAGGTTAGTTTGGGATTTCTTACCCACTTCCCATGACTATGCTGGGAGTTTGTCTGGTTTGATCTTCCATGGGACTTGTGCATGCTGTCACCATTGCTGTGAGTTCATGTGAGTAACTGACCAGCCGTCTGGAAGACTCTTGTTTTCTTTGGTCATCTACTACCTCTGACTCTTCAATCTTTCTGCCTCCTCTTCTGCAACAATCATCTTCTGTAAGACTCGATGTGAGCCTTGGGAAGCAGAGGTTTGAAATAATGGTCCTAATAAGGGATAAGTACTCTGTGGCCTGTTCTCTGCACATTGACTAGTTGTGGGTTTCTGTCTTATTCACCATCTGTGGCATAAGGAAACCTTGCTGGTGAGAGTTGAGAGTTGTATTCATCCAGTGTGTAGAGGTCTCATTGAAGATGTGTCACTTAGGTTAAGTATCTCACAGACACTTAATTGTTTGAGTCTGACCAGTTCTGGATCTGTAATAGTCTCTATCTTGGCTAGTTCGACACTCTCCAGCAGCCTCAGCAGGACGGGGCCAAGGCCCAAGGAAGGCCAATGGGCACAGCATGCCCAGTGCTTACTTTTAATAGATTCATCACCCTGACCAGGCAGGAAGCGCTATGATTTTTCCTTTCTCTGCTTATATTGTTGAATATTTTTGGGTTCTCCACCTGCATAAGGACCATCTTTGGAGCTTTGCATATGGGCAGACCTGGAATCCATCCCCACACTGCATTAGAGTCTTTGGGATGTAGCTTTCTCTATTTTTATAATACTTCCTAGGTGATTCTGATCTTCACATCATTTCAAAAACAACATTAAACCTTTTTCTATAGTATTCCAACCCATTTCCACCATCGTTGCTTTGTCTTAGGCCTATGGAGTTTCCTTTGACTTCCCTAACAAATTAACACCCACTTGGTGGCTTAAAACAATAGGTATTTATACTTTCACAGTCCTGGAAGCCATGCCAGATGGTTGAAATCGAGGTGTGGGCAAGGCCCTCCTCCCTCTGTTGCTCCAGGTGTTTCTTGGAGTATGCTTGCATAACTCCCAGCTCTGCCTCCATCTTCACATGGTCTCTCCCTCTCTGTCCCTGAGTGCCTCTTACAAGGTGCTGTTAGAGTTAGGTCCCACCAGTAATTGAAGACAATGTCATCTTGAGAGCCTTTGCTTAACCATGTCTGCAAAGAGCCTTTTTCTGGTAGATTTACAGGTTCCAGGATAGGCTCATATCTTTTGGGAGGGCAATCATTCCATACATTTCCCCTTCCACCCCTCCACCCCCCCCGCCACCATGATGATTCCCTCCACTGATCTCCACTGAGTACTCCACTGAGTACTCATTCTGTGACTTTGCCACCCTAGTTGATTACTTATTATATCCAGTCACTAGCTGTGCAAATCCTTTCAGGCTCCTATTCTCCTTAGGGTGAGAAACCAAAGTCCTTGCCCCAGATACCCAGTGCTGTGATCTCACCTTGTCTCCTTTCCTCTCCATCCCAGGGCTTCCTTTCTCCTGGGACTTAGCTCTTACAGCTCGGAACTTTCTCAGTCCCCCTTGCTTGGTGAGTGCTCCACATTCAGCCTTCTGGCTTAGATTCAAGACTGTTCGAGAGGTGTCTACCCCTGTGCTGTGTGCTGCAGTACCCATTATCCAGTGCGTTTTATCAGTGTCTTTCACTCCTTCCAAATAGAAGGCTCTGAAGCAGGGAAGCTGATATTCATTGGCACTCTGAACCAGGCTCTATGGATAGTGAATGAATGACCTGGTAGCTTAATCTAATTAGAAATTTGTTTGATCTTGACATTGGTTTTTCTACCACCGGTTTAGTTATTTCCAATAGGATTTTTTGCCCACCATCATTTAGATACATTAAGTAGGCAATCTCTAAGCACAATGGCTTTTCATTGGCTTAACCTACAATATCTATACATCTATGTACAGATATCATTTAAACTGCTTCTGCATGTGTTAAGGTTGACATTTCTGACTTTTTGTGTTGGATAGAACTTTGAGGCTTTAAGAGTTTCATGAATAAGGATAAGAGTGCACATGAGCCAGTGAAAGCTCTGCCGGATCCTCTACCCCCAGTTTTTGCTTCTTGTCTCTTTGCTTCATTCTTTCCTTTCTCTACTTCAGTGGAATACAGATTGTCATGTCCCCACAGCTCGTGTGTTTATGTTTTATAACTCTAGCTACCCACAGAAAACAGTTGTCTCTGTTTGATATTTCCTAGGATGAGGATGTTGGCCAGCTTGACCAGATGTGCAGCTCTGGCACAAGATAGAGGGTTAGTGGAGAAGATGTGGCAGGACTGTTTTATCCAAATGTGTGGTGCTGAGTTGCCTCTGGGAGTGCAGATGTGAGCAAGCAGCCACAGAGAGCTGTGTCACTCTTTCCCAGGGGTCCCCCTGACTGGAATCGAATGGGTGACAGAAAAGCAAGGGAACTAGAAACCTTGCCAGATCTTGTAGTAATTTTCTCTAGTCCACAATAGTGAAAACGCTCCTCCAAATGTTTACTATCTTGGCTTTAATTGGTTGACATATGTTTTCCTTAATATAGAATGCTTGTCTTGAGTTAAGTGGTGTGGAAATATCTTAAAGTGGGTTTCCAATGATTGTTTATTCATGAGTACTAGATAGTAGTGATCGCAGAGTTTTTCAAGAAAATTAATGTACACTTTTCTGATCTTGCCAGAGGGAAACAGAGAGGACTAAAACTTGAAACAAGTTTATTCCTTTAGTCTAGAGGTATCTTTATGTAGCTGGCATTCCTTTGTGACAGAGAAGACTAAAACTTGAAACATGTTATTCCTTTAGTCTAGAGATGTCTTTATGTAGCTGGCATTCCTTTGTGACGTCCTGGAAACAGATTACAAGTGAGACTAACTTGCGGTGGTGATGTGAAACCATTGTCTGGCTGTAGCTACTGACTCAGCTCTTAGAACACATACACCAAGATCCCTTTGTTCTGACTGCTTCAGCACCCAGGGCCTCACTCCTCCCTATCTGGTGCTTCTTTTCTGGTGAGAGCTTGAGTAGTAGAGAAAAAAAGCCCAGGAGGCTGCTGGACAAGACATTCAGAACAGGAGCAGGCCATCAGACCTGCTCTCTGGTGTTTTTAGAGAATCTGGGAGTGGCCAGCCATATTTGCCCCAGTACATTTTATATCATTTTTCCCCCTTTCACTTCTCTTCAAAATAGGTTCTGCCACGGTGCCAGCAGAGAATCTGTTAGGTCTGTGTGGCAACAGGGGACAGTGGTCAAAACATTGTGAGATTGGTGAATCGGGGGTTAGAGCATGCAGTTGAAAATCAACCCACCAACTGCAATCTTGCATTTCTTCTAAAGGTTGGCATTAGCTAAATATAAGAGATCTACCTCAGGGCTTGTTCCTTGGCTAGTTTTAAAGTTTTTGACAGTGGGTCAAAACTCGGGTGCGAGCTGGTTCTTTTGTTTTGGTTGGTTGGTTAACCGAATAGGGTTCAAACAAATGAGGATGCATGTAAGATTTAAAACTTAAGAAAACAACTAAATTTGGTCTTCTTACAGATAAAGATCTTACAGAAAGTATTACCATGATTTGAGAGTGAGAGATGGTGAGATGGTGTTTGATTAGTATGCTTTTTTCTAACTGATTGATTTAAAATTATTTCTCCAGTGTTCCTCTGGGGTCTTTCGAATGGCGCTGGCTGAATGGCACACGACCACTGCAGAATGCGCATTTGCTTATTTATATTCTCATCTCTTTTGGAAAAGATTTGACGAGTCTGTCTTTATAGAATAGGAAACCTATAATTACTTGTACATCACTCTTAAATTAAGTCTCTGGAAGTGATTGAATTCTATTACAGCTGGTCTGCTTTGCAGCCTTCTCCTTTTGTGGGGTGTTTAGTGAGAGCTCCTTATGCTGCCTATCTTCTCTCTTGTTCTAACTTCTGCACTTAACACGATCTGCAAACTAATGAACACTTTCGTCTCTGCTTTTAGGTACAATGGTGCTTTGCCTAATGGAGACAGGGGCCGGAGGAAAAGCAGATTTGCCCTCCATAAGCGGACCAAGGCCAACGGCGTCAAACCCAGCACAATCCACGTGGTCTCCACACCCCAGGCATCCAAGGTAGGTGACTGTGACTGAGTAAGGAGTGCCTTGGCAAAATGCCTTGTTACCCGCTGTTTCTTCTGGTCTCATGTCCATGTAGGACAGCGCTCCCCAGATACCCAGGGCTGGATCGTGGTTGTGAAGGGCTGTGCTGTGCAGTGTAAGATGTTTGGCAGCACCCTTGGCCTTGCTTGACCCACCAGGTGCCCATGTACTCCTCCCCACCCCTCACAGTTGTTAAGGTCCAAGCATGTCTAGAGATGTGGAATGACTGTGGGGAGGGCTGGGGAGGTGCTGTCTGAATCAGAAGCACTGCTTTAGGAAACAAGGCAGCTAGCATTCATCAGGTTGTGTTTGAAAAATAGAAGATGTTCCAGGCGTGGTGGTGCACACCTTTAGTCCCAGCACTGGTGAGGCAGAGGTGGGTGGATCTCTTGTGAGTTCAAGGCTAGCCTGGTCTACAAAGTGAGCCCCAGGCCTGCTAGGGCTAAAAATGAAAAAAATAAAAAAAATAAAAAAGAAAAGAAAAATAGATGCTTTTTATCTGAAAGAGTTTTTGGGTTCTGTCTTGGCATAACACTCACAAAGATTTGTTATTTTCCTCCTATTATAATTGATTATATAGTGTTTTCACACAATCGACATGTACATGGAATTGAGTTTGAATAATTAATAAGATGTGACATATACAGTTCTAAGTTACACAGGATATCCATTTCTTCCCATAAGTTTGAAGTAAATGTTAATTTTTTAATAAAAGGATAATTTCATGTGTTTTCTGGCATATAAGCAAGAGAAAAAGTTTCCATTCTGGTTGATAAGTTTTACGTGTTATACTTAAGGCAATTTTTCTTTTAATAAAATCAGATCTTTCATATATAATACAGTTGCCTTGTCTACAAAATAATATTGACCTGCAGCATTTCTTACGGTGTTTATATTAGTGTATGTCATTATGGATTTGGACCGCTGGAAAAGTCAAGTCTTGATTCTGTTTTTACTTAACAATAGTCTTAAGAGAGCAGTGGTGGCCCCTTGGAACCAGGTGTGGCATTTATGCACAGCAGTAACAGTGATCAGCTTTGGGAAGACTTTGGATTTAAAAAGCCCAGAAACAGTGCCATGGAAAGACTCTTCTAGAATGTACCAACTGAGATTATCTCATTCTAATGAGGAATGAACAGAAAGAAAATACTAAGTACCAAAACGGAAAGATTAATGTCTAATAGGCATGTTTTGACTAAAGAAAGAAACTAAATTTGGGGGCAGTAATGGCATTTTATAAAGAAATCCAGCTTTACAAAGATCTGAAGAAAGGAAGAAATAAAATAGCAACAAAATCTTCAGAGGCCAAGGAAATAAGAGACATTTTATAGTCTATATTAGTAATTTTTCTCCTTACGACAAAATGTTTGCCAAATCAACTTGAGGGAGAAAGACTTATTCTGGCTCCCAGTTCTAGAGGACATCAGTGAGGTATGGAGGACAAAGTTACTCTGTCCTTGGTGGCTAGACCTTGCAGCCTCTTGATGGATCAGGAAGCAGAGAATGGGATTGGAGATGGGCTGAGCCATAACCCTTAAAGGCCTGCCCCCAGTTTACCCTTCTAACCAGTTCTCCCTTCCTTTTAAAAGGTTCCCCAACCTCCCCAAACAGCACCATCTGCTGGGGATGAAACACATGAGCCTGTGTGGAGCATTTCAGATTAAAGCCATACCAGTCCACTGAAGAAGCAAACCAAGACAGATGATGAGTGCCACAAATGTTCTGATGTTATAAAATGGTCCTTCTAATGTTGTGTATTTATTGACATTTATATTTCTTTTTATCCTTTTGAATCTGTACTTTTAAATATTTCCATTTTAAATCAGAAGTTTTATAAATAGAATGGCTGACGCAAAATTTATAGAGGACTGGAGCTATAGCTCAGTGTTAGAGCGCTTGGCCAACATGTTCAAGGTCCTGAATTTGATCCCTAGCATGAAACACACACACACACACACACACACACACACACACACACACACACCCATTTTAGGCAAATTATCTTGCCTTGATTACTCAGGTTTATTCTGTGATGAAAGTTACACCCATGGGGTGCTCAATGGCTCTTTCCTATTCTTTCCCCACTTCTTATATCTCCCATTTTAGCTTTTTAGAGAAATTTCACCCCTGTCCTTAGATTTCGTTTCAGGTTATTTAATTTATGCATCTTTTGGTAGTTGTCTAAGTCTGTGTCTAAACGTGTTACCCACAGTACTAAGAATAGGACAGCTCAGGTTTTGGTCTTGATCCTCTCATTTTGTAATGTGGAAAAATGGAAAAAATATTTTCTCAGAGCCTTAGGTTGCTCCTTTGCAAGCTGAGCAGATTGGCAATAAGCAGGAGCCATTCTGGATTAGGTAATATACTTTGGTTATAAGCAGATTCTGGCTGTAGGAAAGTGGAAAGGCAGAAATGGAGAAATCATGATAGAAGAGGCTGAGTCGCCCTCAGTATCAGGGAGGAGTTGAGAAACCCAGTTTCATGAGAGAGGAAAGCCAGAGTCCTAACAGAAGTTAGTATGGATAATCCTTCAACATGAAGCAACTTGACTTCAACCCTCTACTAAAGGTTTGCATTTTCAGGAGAGGATCTGGTAGGCTGGGTCACCATGGCCAAGGAAGATGGAGAGAGTAGGCACATTTTTGTAAGCTTCTAACTCCAAGGCTCTCATGGCCTTTATTCATCACTGCCTCAAGGGCCTTGTACCTAGTCAGTACAGAGTGTTGTTTGGACAGTGAATAGGTACTGAGTCTGCATTTTCTACCATCCATGAATCTAGACCTCAGTCACAAGCTCTTTCTCCTTCTGATCCCTCTCAGATGCACAGCCCTCACCAGCTTAACCCTGCCATTCCTGCTGCTAGATTTGTTCTGTTGGCCCTTTCTGCTTTCCAGCTTCATCCAGTTATAACAGAGCTCCTTCATAGTTACATACATGCTTTTGGGAACAGGTGCTGTTGGGGCACTGTCCTTCAAGCTCCTAATGCACCCTTATTTCTCTCTCTCCCATCTCTTTAGGACCATGGGATTAGAAATGATTTCAGTCTGCTGCTTCCATTCCAGTTTTGTTGTTGTTGACATTACTGCCTTACCTTTCCCCTGATTTCTGCCGCCCCTGCTGACCTATAGTTCAGTCCGTCACATATTTCAGTGACGTGGTGCCTACCCCCATCTTTTCCCTGGCACTTGTAATATCTATCGTTCGTTGTGCTTTGACTCTTTCAGAAGCTGTCATTTTTGTTCACTTTTTCCCACTGATACTTTACAGCTCGCTGCCTTTAGAAGTGAGCACAGTCCAGCTCATTCTTTGTTTGTGCATGCAGTTTCCTACCTGCTGTCCTAAGCATCCAGCCCAAAGTCTGTCCTTATTTGTCGGAGTTGTTGGCCTACTTGGCGTCTCCAGATACCTACCTCCACCTAGATTCTCTTTCTTTGATGCCTTTTGGGACCCTCTCCTCCTGACTTCCTGGTTCTGGGCTCTGCCCAGACCCCATTGGGCTGTTTTTCTTATCCTCTTCATTGCTTATACTGTGTCTCATGAGAATGCCAGTGTGTGTGGTGGTGCCTGGAAAAAACACTTGCCATGAATTGACAGCATTTTGCCCTGAAGTCTCTGAGTCTGTGCTATTGGTAGCGAAGTGTGCATCTCTGGATGTGCGAAGTGAGACCTGGAAGACGTGTGTATGTGTTAATGTCTTACTGTTATACCCTTCGTGCTGGTTCTTCCCTCTGCCTCTCTGTCCCTTTGCTGACGCTAAAGACAGTGGGACATAAGGCTTCCTACTGTCCTGTGAGTGCCATCGTCCATGCTGAGCAGATTCTGATGGCAAGCCTGTGTTACTGCTTTATAATCTCTATGTAGTCTCTATTTGTGTACGTATTTGCTCTTGGAGTAATACAGGTATTTCTCCGATTATATAATGTGCTTAAAAGTATCAGAAATCCTGTTTTACTCCCGACAGATCTGTTACATATGCAGAAGGCCTCATAATTTATTCACCCATTCATTTATTCAACAAATATTTATCCAGCACCTTCTATGCCCAGGCATCATGCCAGGTATTGGATAGACTGTGGCGAACATGCACATCAGCATGGAGCTAATCGTCCAGTGAGTAGGCAAACAGTGAGGAGTTGTTTGAACACATATGTAACTGTTGAGAGAAGGGCTGGGAGGAAAAAGGCACAAATGTGAACCAGGCAGGCAGGGAAGGGTCGCTGAGCAAGGTGTGTGAACTGCAGGCTAATGGGGAGAGGGGCTGATCAGAGGATATAGGACAGGACCTGGCTAGAGGATTTGGCTTTTTCTAAGGCAAATATTGGAGCATGTTAAGCAGAGGGAATGACATGTTATGACTGAGAACGGACGTTTTTATGGTGTGGGCAGACTCATGCTATTATGCCACTGGTAACCTGTGATGGTGGTGGTGGTGATGATGATTCTTGTGCTTGATGGAGATATTTTGCTACAGAATGTTAAATTCAGCAGCATTGCTGTGGAAAACTTTTCTCATGGTTTTCCCTTCTTAGATTATGTTTTATTGAAATTTCCTTTTTTGGCTATTTCACTTTCCCAAAGTAATTGGAATCACTTTGTTTTAGTCAGCGTATTGCAGAATGGAAAACAGTAGTAGTATTTGAGGGACGGTTTAGAAAAAGAGTAAGGCTAGTTAATATGATTGCCTTGCCCAGAGCTGCTCTTGAGTCTGTGTCTTCCTCCTCTCTGTGTTGCTATGAGAAAGTGCCCAAGACTGGCCACTTTGTGAAGAGGCTTATTTGGCTCACTACTCTGGTGGCTAGAGAGTCTAAGTGGTATTACATTTACATCCTGAGTGTGTCATAACTCTGTGAAGAGGTAGAAGGGGAATGGGCCAAGTGCTGTGGGGCACATTGTCAGCCAGGAAATGGGAACTAGTTGGGTCACAACTGGTTCTTACAGGACTTACCCAGTCCTTCAAGACCTCACCTACTCTG